GAATGGTTCGCTCCGTAAAAGAAGCCCTACGCGTCACCCTCAACGAGCGCTATCCCAGCGACGAAACATTGGGGACCCTGCTCGCCGAGGTCGAAAATACTGTAAACTCCAGACCTCTCACACACGTCTCAGTCGACCCAGGAGACCCTGAAGCCATCACGCCGAATCACATCCTCATCGGTCCCAACTCGCACGTACCTGCGCCGGGACACTTCAGCAAGAATGACGTGACGGCCCGCCAGCAATGGAAACGAGCTCAAGCCCTAGCCGACGTGTTTTGGAGAAGATGGGTTAAAGAATACCTGCCCCTACTCCAACACCGGCGGGAGCCCAGCAGCATAGGAGTATCGCCGAAGATTGGAGACCTAGTCATCATTTGTGACTCCAATCTACCACGCAACACCTGGCCCAGAGGGAAAATAAGTAAGGTATATCCTGGCGTCGACGGAGAGGTACGAGTAGTGGACGTAACCACCGGCAGTGGGCACATACTAAGAAGACCAACGAAGAAGATCGTCGTGCTACCAGAGGGATCGCAGCGTGGCGACGGCGGGAGAATGTGCACGACGCAACAATATTAAACAAACGAAAGAAAATGCTTATTGTAACCGGCGCTAGTTGAACAACCTAGGAGCGGTGGGCGGAGCCATGACGACGGTGTAATTATCAGGCCACGCCTCTGGTTCGACAACTAGCAAGGGTTATACGGCGGAACTAGCGCAACCTTATGTTGAATTTAAATTATAATTTGTGTAAATAATTGTATTACTTGTATCGAACGATAAAAAATAATGATTGTATTATAACTAAGTTTAAGGTTGAGTTGTAACTGTGCAATAACTCTCCCAAATAAAGGCACCGTATGAACAGGGAGAGTTAGCATAGTCTTCTAATGAAAACTATAATTGTTAAATATAATAAATGTTTACTTTATTATATAATAAATATATTAGGCCGTTAGGCACATAAAATAATAGTAGTAGTGTAACCAAAGAGCATGTTATCGTGACGCGGCCGCGGAGCAAATGAAGCCACGCGCACCGCGCCACGACGTTTTATATTTATAGTGCTGAGGCGGGGAAGGATTCTCCGCCTAAAGCAGCTGAAAATTATAATTTAAACCTGTAAATAAGTAAAAATATTGATATGTACACCCTAGTCTAACAAGTAGTTATAAGAATATTATATAGTGAATTATGTTTATTAGTTTGTAAGATTATTAAATAAATAAAGATAGGCGCGGGGGTGAGGCAAGGGTCCGCTGGCCAGCAGCGGCCAAATCATATAAAAGACGGGCCGGCCGCTAGGGTCAGCAGTCGCTCTCCAGCCACCGAAAAGGCACCAGCAAGAAAAGAAAAAGTACAAGTTCCTCCTCACCGCCGCTTGCCTCCAGTTAAAAGCAAGACCAGCGCGTTTTATTCCATTTTTCGCACGGCATTACGGCGATCCGTAATAATACAATTTAATACAAATACAAATTTACACTATATGCTATTATAACTCAGCTACAACTGTTAGTGCGCGGGAGATTTGTTAACGCGGTCACTGGACTGCTGCATTGCAATATTTAATACTAAGCAGTGTATAATATATATTTATGTTAAATATGGTTAATTTTTTTTTCATTTATCCACTCATAGAAAAAATCATGAAATTCTGTAAACTTAACGTAGCTTTGAATAAACTAAACTATTTTGTGGTGAGGTCCCAGAGAATAGTTAAGTTTTGAAATCTTGCCAAAAGAAAAGTTATGGCCTGATCCGAGATAATCTGCTTCTCTGGCGTAGAAAAGCAAAGATACCCGTTTCTCTGGCGTTGACGAAAAAATGACAATTAAAACTCAACCAGCGCCAAAAGTTACTACATGAAAGTGCAAAATCCTCCGACGTTGTTGATATACCGTTACTACTAAAAATCCTTTTAGATATTAATATTGCTTGAATTCATATGTAATGAGCTAGTTTTGAGTGCCGTTTTTGTGTTATTGTGTAACGTGAGCAAAAAAGCCCACCCGCATCGAGATACAGAAAAACTGCAATTAAAAACACTACCAGCGCACGAGATATGGTAGTAATTTATAATATACGAGGTGCACGTTATTTAATCTGACTTATATGCTACGTGGTTGAGCGGACGTAGAGGTTAGGCGGACGTTTCGCAGCGGTTATTTGTTAATTTTACAGCAAATGGTTGCGTACATCAAGTGGTGATTGTTCAAATGACGTAGTAGCTCGCTATTTAAGTGGAGAGCGATTGCGTTAGCGAGTTGTATAAATATAAGTTGTTTCGGCTCACCGCTCACTTAGCAGTCGGCTACCGCTGAGGCTACTTCACCTGAAGATGCCTCTTGTAGAGGCGAAACACGTGGCGTCCCTAGTGTGGTGGTGCGGGGATGGGTGGTGATGGGGATAGTGCACGCAATTGAGGGACGGTAGGAGGTGCTCTTCAAACTAGGCAGGACACACTTTATTTAATTACGCGTAAATAAGCAAATTAAGTTCCAACAACTTTAATGTAATGTATTTTCACAAAGTAACGCCTGATTTTATAAAATATATACATTACTGCAGCATCCAACTTGCGAGACATCTGCAATATGCCTGTCAAGCGTGATAATTAAGGCAAATTCTCTTGACAACGGGAAATCCATGTCCAGTAGTAAACTTCTTAGGGCTGATGAAAAATAATAAAGTGATGGCGAATAAAACTCTAATACAATACCGTCGAGTGAGGGCTGTAAATAACCTATATCCAAGAGTAAACGTAAAAATAACGTGAATATGATTTTTAAAATGAGGAATGAAGTACGATTTTTCGGTATCTGCTAACTCTTATCTTTGACGTCAATGTCAGATTTAGCTTTAAATCTACGTCAGCGAGAAGCTTTGTGCCGTCGAGGATTCCTATCTTATTGTTGAATTTTGATTTAGTGGCAGACAATAACTCACTAATCATAATATATTTGGGTAAGACAAGAATGGCAAGTAACATACGACTCGTTTTTGTTTATTATTTAAATTTGAAATTAAATATTAGAAGAATAAAAAACATTAAAAAGAAACTTTAGTATGTATGAAGTACCATTTTGTAAAACACCTGGAATAAAGAACCCAAGTATTTTTTCTCTGTCGAAGATCTACCAGCGCCAATGAAATTATCAATTGTAATGTATGGTGATGGTTTACCACGTGTTCGGCGTTACAAGAACTTCATTCGTATTTTCAAGCGTAATCTGTGAGTTCGTTTACATGCACTGACGTGGCGCGTCATATTTTGTCTGTGCCGGACGGGCGTAACTCTCCGGAGTAAATGTTGTCGGAGATACCCCGCGAGTCGCTCACGTCCTACACCTGTAGGTTCCAGACTCCTCCAACTGCCGTCTTTCACTGCCGTCTCTTTGGTTGCTGCGGATAAACTGTGGACTGAGGTTCAAAATTAAAATGCACGATTTGTAAATTAAAATAGCAAGGGAGTGGCCAGCGGATCGACTAATTAATTTGTCGCGAGATTTTACACTGTTATTTATTTATCACTATTTTTCAACTATGATTGTTCACTATATATTTTAAAACACAGATTTAATTAAACACACAGCAATATTAAAATTTCTATTGGTTTTCTAAAATTTCTATTCGTATTTTTAAAATATCTGTTGGTAATATCAAATTTCTATTGGCAGTAACAAGTTTCTATTGGTATTCTCTACAATTTCTATTGGTAATTTTAAATATCTATTGAAAGTAACAAATTTCTATTGGTAGTATCCAAAATTTCTATTGGTAGCAGCTGGTTTTCTAACACTACTGACTAGCAGCTATTAATCAACTAAAATTAGTTGAATTTAAACACTTTTGTAACTGCGAATATCAGTTACCACTTTTTCCGTCTAGCTAACACTTTTCACGAAATGTAACGGCGAAATTTCCGTTACCACTTATTTCAGCTAGCCAACACTTTTTCACTATATGTAACTGCGAATATCAGTTACCACTATTTTTGGCTAGCTGACACTATTTTTCTATGTGCAACTGAGAATTTTCAGTTGCCACTTTTTTCCGACTATGTGTAACTGCGATTTTTCAGTTACGACCTTTTTCGGCTAGCTAAACTTTTCTATTTCACTTTAACTTTTCACTGTGTTCTGCTACTAGTCACTTCAGCTACTACCGGATACTGCTGCTTGTTACTGGTAGTTCTTCCTACTACAATGTTACTGTGATTTGCCCCCATAAGGTAGACTTCGGCTATACTCTATAGAGAGCCGCTTGCCAATTCCCATTTGCCTCTTTATTTTCAATCATTTTTCTTTATGCAAATGGCACAAATTGCAACTTTTCTATATAATACAAATCTTAACTCTAACATGCTATACATCATTAAATAGACATTTTTGTTCTACATTAGTATGCGATAAAGGATAATTAATATATTTACATTTAACAAAGTTATTCATTGAAATGTCCTAAACTTTTACACTAATTGGTCATATTAATTCTTTAATTATCCTATAACTTTTAAATCGTGCTTAATTATACAAAATGTTTCTTTATTATAACGATCTATACATCATATGCTACCTAAATACCATATTTACAACTCTTTTCAGACATAAAATTATTCTCATTAATTTTTTGCTTAAAACTATTACGCAGTTAATTTAAATTTCCAGAAAGTTCTATAGCGCGGCGCGCTGTGATTGGTCGATATTTTCTTAAACAAAATAAAGTTGTTTATATTAACTATTGTCAAATCGACCTTCTATACAAACATATTGAGAGTTGTAAATACATGGTAAAACTATATTTAATACATTATTTAGTCAATTTTTCCGTATTTTCATTTTTTTAAACAAATAAATATTCCTTAATCACTTTCTCGTTTAAAGTCATTTTTGCCGTTGTGAACAGTCATTTTGGCCGTCTCGAACATTTCTCCCGCCGTGCAGCGTCGCGAAGACCCGTCGCAGCGGCGCTGCATAATTTCGGTGAGAGACGTTGCCTCTACTTCGGCAGCGGCACGAGTTTTCTGGTTGGCCTCTTGATTAGTCCATTCGCTGTGCGTACCTCCACAGTGCGGATCTGTCCGTCCGCCCCGGGGTATATGTTTTCAATCCTTCCTCGTGGCCAGGTGTTACGAGGTAACTGGCTGTCAGCTATGAGGACTGGATCGCCCACCTGGAGATCGGGGCCTTGACCGTGGGCCTCCCGCCGGTTTTGAAGTTCCGGCAGATATTCTTTGACCCAACGCTGCCAGAACATGTCAGCGAGTATCTGGGAGCGTCGCCAGTGTTTTTTGCTGTTCGCATCTTTTTCACTAAAAACTCCAGGTGTTGGCAGTCTCGCAGATCCTCCCAATAGGAAGTGATTTGGAGTGATGGACTCGTTGTCTTTGCTGTCTACTGAGATGTGAGTCAATGGTCTGCTGTTTACTGTATATTCCACCTCGCAGAGCAGCGTGGTCAAGACATCTTCGTGCGGATGTCTCTCATGAAGGACGGTGTATAGTGCCGTCTTCACGCATCGAACAAGCCGTTCCCACACCCCTCCCATGAAAGGCGCGGAGGGGGTTATAAATCGCCAGACTATGCCTCGTCGGCTGGCTTCTTCTCGGAAGGCCTCTCGAAGCTCCTTGTCGGCACCGTGCATATTGGTGCCGTTGTCCGAGTAAATCTCGGTGGGACATCCTCGGCGCGCTGCGAATCTTCTTAATGCCAGTATGGCAGAGTCTGCGCTGAGATCTTTCACAATTTCCAAATGTACAGCTCGTGATGTAAGGCAGGTGAAGAGCGCCACGTATCTCTTCTGATGCTGACGTCCCACTGTTACGGAGAGTGGCCCAAAATAATCCAGGCCGGTGAACGTGAACGGTCTCTGGTGATGTGCGAGACGCGTGCTGGGATGATCACCGGTGGCTGGCATGGATGGTTGTGCCTTTCTTATGCGGCACTGAACGCATTGGCTTACTATTCTTTTAGTAGTGGGTCTTAGTCTGATTACCCAGTAATGCTGTCGAACCTCGTTGATGGTTGGTTCGGTCCCGCAATGATGCAGGCTACGATGCGTCCAATCAATATACAATTGGGTGATGTGATGATCACCATCCAATATAGCTGGCCCTTTCATATCTTCAGAGACTCCTTTTACAACGGCTATTCGACTTCGTAGCGCAATGATCCCGTCTTTCAATTGTATCTGTAGTGGTCGTAGGCGGCTATCATGGGCGACCCTCTTATCGTTACGGAGATCGGCTATCTCTTGTGTGAAGGAGTCTTCCTGGATGACATGTACCAGGAGCTTTTCGGCCTTTCTTATATATTCGGCCTCCAGTGTGATGTATTTGTTTACATCTTTGCTTTTCACCTGACTGGGAGGCTGCGCGAGACGTCGCGGATTGCACTTCGATCTCCTCCAGTCGGGGTCTTCCTCTCTATTTCTTTTTGTCCTTTTATAAAAGGTCCTGTCGGTTGTTTTGCGGCAGGGTGTTATGAATTGAAGCACTCTGGCCGTAGCTCGCACTAAGCGTTCCCATTTCGAAAATTTCGTCGGATCGGGAATGGCCTCTTTATATAGCGGAGCTCTATATCTTTCTGTGATGGTGAGAGATCTTTCTTCACCAGTAGGTTCGGATGACGTGGGTCGTTCTGTTGGCCATGCTGACGGTTCTTTGTATAGAAATGATGGGCCACTGTACCACTCGTGGTTAGAGTCGAAATTGGGTGGTACGTCCCTCGTAGCGGTGTCAGCTATATTCAATTTTGTGGGTACCCAGCGCCAGTCGTCCACTTTACTATTGTCCTCTATTGCTGCTATTCGATGTGCTACAAAGGGTTTGTAGCTCCTGGAACCTTTCTTTATCCAGGTGAGGACAGTTTTGCTGTCAGTCCAATAAGTGACAGCTTCGGGCTTTACGTGATGCTCCTGGATGACAGCCGCAGCTACGCGACTTCCCATCACGGCGGCTTGTAACTCAAGGCGAGGTATGGATGTTACCTTGAGCGGAGCTACCTTCGCTTTGGCCATGACGAGGCTCACGTACACTTGCCCATCGGGTGTCGTTGCTCTCCAGTAAACTGCCGTTGCGTAGGCACTTTCACTGGCATCTGAAAATACGTGCACTTGGAGGGAGCGTGCGTCGCTGTATCCCGGGTAGCATCTTGGTATGCTTACTGTTTTGAGACGTTCCAGGTGTTGGATCCATGTGGAGCAATGGTTACTCAGGTCCTCGTCCAACTCCTGGTCCCAGTCTGTTCCTCGTCTCCACGCTTCCTGCAGTATTTGCTTGGCGCGTATCGTAACTGGGGAGGCGAGGCCGAGAGGGTCATACAGCGACATCACTATTTTCAACGCTTCCCTCTTTGTTGGTTTTATCTGCAGCAAATTGTCCGGAAGTCGAGCGAGCTTTAGGTTGAAGCTCAGCTGATCGGTACTCGGTTTCCAAATTAAACCGAGTATTTTTTCCTCGGTTCCCTTGTCGCCCAGTTTGACTGACTCGGTTGTTTCGTTGTCAGGTTCTAATTCTTTTACGATTTCTGGCGCATTGGAAACCCATTTTCTCAATAGCCTAATAATAGAAGTGCGCGTTTTTATGTATATCGCGTACTTCCTTCGATATCCGCATTGCATCTTCCAGGGACTGGAAACTATCCAGATAATCATCCATGTAGTGGTTTTGGATGATAGCTTCTACGGCTTCTGGATATTTTTTTATATACCTTTTGGCGTTCCAGTTTTTTGCGAATATCGCTGTGCAGGGTGAACTAGCTGCACCGAATATGATCGACGTCATTCTGTATTGTTGTGGAGCCTCATTGCGTCGATCTCCTCTCCAGAGATATCTCAAGGCATCTCTATCTTCGGGTCTCACTTTGATTTGCATGAACATTTCCGCTATGTCCGCGGAGACAGCAACATTGTGTCGGCGAAAGCGCATCATGACTCCTGGTAATGACTGTAGTAAGTCTGGACCCGTGAGCAGGAAATCATTCAATGCCATTCCTTTTGTTTTGGCTGCGGCATCGTGTACTATGCGAAACTTTTCTGGTTTCATCGGATTATGGACATCGAAATGAGGTAGATACCATGTCTTTCCTGGTGTACTATTCTTTGGCGCTATTTCGGCGTATCCCTTTTGTATTAGGGAATTCATTTCTTCGTTGTACTTCTGCTTTAGCTCTTCGTTTCGATCTAGTTTTTTCTCGATAGAAACGAGCCTGTTTATCGCCGTTTCATAATTTCCAGGCATTTCGATGTCTTTCTTTTTCCATAGAAGCGCTGTTTCTATGTGCCCGTCTTCCAACTGTCGGGTGCTGCTATTTAGTATTTCTTCGGCTTGCTTCTCTGGATCGGAATCTGGTCTTCTCGGATTTATCATTAAAGATTCCAGCGCGAAGTATTCGCGGAGTTGGTCATTTATATTCTCCTCGCTCGTGTACAGCTCGTTGGCCGTGTGGATGCGCTGATGCGGGGCTTTAGTGTGCGCCCCGTGTAGCACCCATCCCAGTTCTGTGAGCGAGGCTATTGGCTGGTGCGGTGGACCTCTGCGTACTTGTGTGGCTATTAAGAGTCTCCAGTTGTCTTGTCCTATCAGGATCCTAGGGTTGCCTGAATCATATGTCAATTGATCCTTTAAGCCTTTCAAATGCTTACAATTTTCTATGTCTGTTGCACGCACAGTCTGCGGCCCCAAGTTTAGGCTGGCGACCGTGCGTGCTCTGAATGGCACCCTTTTTCTATGGAGACTCTTCAGTGACACTTTGACTCTTTGGGAGTCCGGCGAATCAAGGGTAGTGTTCCCGATAGCTGTGATCTTGAATGGGTCCAACCGCCCTTTAGCTCCAATTTGATCGGCAATCTCTTGATCCATTAACGAGACTGTCGACCCATCATCCAGCAGAGCGTGTGTGTTTATTGCTCCCGCCGGTCCAATTACTCGAACTGGAATTATCTTCAAGTAAGCTTGATGCTTTGACACAGCGAATGAGTTTGCCACTGTCTCTTGAGGTTCTTTTAGTGGGCCCTCTGTCTTTTCCTTTCTATTATTATGAAGGAGTCGATTGTGTGTCGCGTTGCATCCTTTTATTCCACACTTCGTGGTTTTGCATCTGTGTGTCTGACTTCTATAACGCAGACACCGGAAACATAAATTCCTTTGCTTGGCGAGTTGCCATCTTTTATCAATATCTGCCTCTTTAAACTTGTTGCAGTCGGATCCGTAATGACCCTCTTTTTCGCACACACTGCATTTCGGAGACGGCTTAGTGGTAGCCGTGTGCGTCCTATGCACTGGACGATTATTTTGCGCTCCGCTTATGATCTCAGGAGGCGCAAATGCACTACAGTAGCGAGCTTGTTCGGTGATAAATTCACTGAAGGAACCGAGGTCTGGTCTTGAGTCATACTTTTCTGTATAAATTCTATACCACTGCGCGCGTATAGAGTTTGGCAGTTTGTCTGTGAGGTGTCGTAGCAGCTCTGCGTTAACGAGGTAATGGTCTCGCTTGAGTGCTCGAAGTGTGACGACGCTTCCCCTCACTTTGCTCGCGAATGTACAAATATCTCTGGGTGCCTCTGTACAGCGTGGCAATCCCCGTAATTTATCGGTTTCTGCTTGCGCGATTGAATCTGGACGCCCAAATTGTAGCTCCAGTTCTCGCATAATCTCATCTGGTTTAGCATGCCCGATGAGTTCCGAACTAACTGTTTCCAAGGCTCTTCCTTGTAGACTTCTTCGTAGTCTAGCAGTATTTTCTATGTCATTGAAGTAGCCTCGGGTTGTTTCATAAATGGCACGGAACGAAAGCCATTCAGTATGTGCTCCGCTAAAGCTCGGCAGTGTCATTATCGCTTTTGATGCTGCGAAAGTATTTGACGATGCACTCTCTGGTTTTGGTTTATCAGCGAGTGCGGCTATAGCGGACGTGAGCTCCGATATGAATGGTCGGAGCACCCTGTCTTCATTGCTGACAGGTGCCTGGTTAGGTCTTTTTATTATGGGATTCTTGGTTGCTTCTTCCGGTTGGGGATCCTGGTAGGCGGGCTCTGATACAGCAGGTAGGAGCCCCCTGTTTTCATCAACCTTGGGGTCCTGGCAAGTCTTCTGAAGTACGGGACTCTTCGGTATATTTTCAGCATTGGGATCCTGGTAGGTGAGCTCTGATACAGCAGGTAGGAGCTCCCTTTCTTCATCAACCTTCGAATCCTTGTTTGTGAGCTTCATCGGCGGCTCACTGAGGTCGACAACCTCCGGGGGTGGCTTTGTGATGTTTTTATTAAGTGGGGCCTCCCCACCGGTGGTTGCGCCTTGCGTTGGCTTTTGCTTGGCTACAGAATTTTCGAGCCAAGATCGGACATACTCACTTTTGGAGTGACCATCCTCATCATAGTCGTCCGATTCATCATCTTCTTCAGCCATTTGTAATGAGATCTGTGCGAGTTCCAATTTTATTCTCAGCACTTCCTCACGAGCCTTCAAAACCCTTTTATTGGGCCGAGTGGTCTTCTTTGACCTTGTACTTTTATCGGTGTGGCCCCTTGGTGGTTCTTCGGCGCGGGAATATACCCGGGCTGTTGGCGGTGATGCACAGCGAATGTCATCGTTGCCTTCTATTTGTTTCCTCTGCTTCGGTGTACCAGCTTTAACAACGGCTGGCACTGGCAGGTGTACCCCCCCATCGCAGGGGCAAGCTATCTGTTCTCTCTGCTTCGGTGTACCGGCTTTAACAACGGCTGGCACAGGCAGGAGTACCCCCCCATCGCGGGGGCAAGCTGGCGCCTCAGCGCCTTCTGTTGTGGATGGTGAGCGTGGTGGCATCTGGTGGCGGACGGTGTCGGTATTGTCCGACGGTCCATCATCCAGACCGACAGTCCACGCCATGGTTCCCCTTCCTTGCGAACGAGTGATCGGCATCTTGATTCTGAAATTTCAGCAACTTTAAAACGGTAGTGATTATTTACCCGGTTCCGAAATACTAACGGATTGACGAATCCCGTTCGAATGACCAGCGTATGTGGTCCGATGTATACGGACGATTCGGCTCAAAGGACCATAAAATGGTCCGGCTGGCAGTTCAATCGGAAGGATCCGGCTCGAAGGACCATAAAATGGTCCAGCCGGCAGTACAGGTGGAAGAATCCGGCTCGAAGGACCATAAAATGTGCCGGACGGGCGTAACTCTCCGGAGTAAATGTTGTCGGAGATACCCCGCGAGTCGCTCACGTCCTACACCTGTAGGTTCCAGACTCCTCCAACTGCCGTCTTTCACTGCCGTCTCTTTGGTTGCTGCGGATAAACTGTGGACTGAGGTTCAAAATTAAAATGCACGATTTGTAAATTAAAATAGCAAGGGAGTGGCCAGCGGATCGACTAATTAATTTGTCGCGAGATTTTACACTGTTATTTATTTATCACTATTTTTCAACTATGATTGTTCACTATATATTTTAAAACACAGATTTAATTAAACACACAGCAATATTAAAATTTCTATTGGTTTTCTAAAATTTCTATTCGTATTTTTAAAATATCTGTTGGTAATATCAAATTTCTATTGGCAGTAACAAGTTTCTATTGGTATTCTCTACAATTTCTATTGGTAATTTTAAATATCTATTGAAAGTAACAAATTTCTATTGGTAGTATCCAAAATTTCTATTGGTAGCAGCTGGTTTTCTAACACTACTGACTAGCAGCTATTAATCAACTAAAATTAGTTGAATTTAAACACTTTTGTAACTGCGAATATCAGTTACCACTTTTTCCGTCTAGCTAACACTTTTCACGAAATGTAACGGCGAAATTTCCGTTACCACTTATTTCAGCTAGCCAACACTTTTTCACTATATGTAACTGCGAATATCAGTTACCACTATTTTTGGCTAGCTGACACTATTTTTCTATGTGCAACTGAGAATTTTCAGTTGCCACTTTTTTCCGACTATGTGTAACTGCGATTTTTCAGTTACGACCTTTTTCGGCTAGCTAAACTTTTCTATTTCACTTTAACTTTTCACTGTGTTCTGCTACTAGTCACTTCAGCTACTACCGGATACTGCTGCTTGTTACTGGTAGTTCTTCCTACTACAATGTTACTGTGATTTGCCCCCATAAGGTAGACTTCGGCTATACTCTATAGAGAGCCGCTTGCCAATTCCCATTTGCCTCTTTATTTTCAATCATTTTTCTTTATGCAAATGGCACAAATTGCAACTTTTCTATATAATACAAATCTTAACTCTAACATGCTATACATCATTAAATAGACATTTTTGTTCTACATTAGTATGCGATAAAGGATAATTAATATATTTACATTTAACAAAGTTATTCATTGAAATGTCCTAAACTTTTACACTAATTGGTCATATTAATTCTTTAATTATCCTATAACTTTTAAATCGTGCTTAATTATACAAAATGTTTCTTTATTATAACGATCTATACATCATATGCTAACTAAATACCATATTTACAACTCTTTTCA